ATCCTTATGTCCATCCTTGGCCTGCTCTATATTTCTCACCTGCAGTCTTGATATGAATTATTTATAAAATAATAAAGACAGGATAAAAATCTACTAAATGAAATGAAATGAAATAATAAAATAAATATGCCTCTTTTCTTCTGTGTCAGAACAATGTAACCTGGCCACTGTTCAAAGCTTTGCCGCAAGAATCTATATATGATAAGAAACAACACAAGGAACTTACTCATAAACTTGTCAGTTACTTCCTGGTCATTTGTTGCTACGGCAACTGTATCTGTGTCCCCCCCATTAATAAAAGGGTGGGTTTAATACTTGCTAGGCCTTGTTTCACAGAAGAATATTTCCTTCCTGCTTCCTGCCACGGGAATGAATATAACATAAAGCCTGCAGCAGAGATTACACCTGAAGTTATAAGCTTGGGAAAAATGCTTCCCATTGAGTAGAAGAAAACAAAGAAGTCCTTATATAAATACGGAAAGCTGGGAGAACAAAAGATTGTGCCTTCTTCAACTTCCTTGATTTATACCAGCAAAGTATAATATACACTGAGGCTTACTCTGGATAGATACTTTTTATTACACACACACACACACACACACACAAACACACACACACACACACACAGAGAGAGAGAGAGAGAGAGAGAGAGAGAGAGAGAGAGAGAGAGAGAGAGAGAACTAAGCTTGTAAACCAAGCTTGTGTCCTTCTCCAAAAGTCAATACTCCTTTGGAGTATTAATTTCTCTACAGTGCTAAAAATTAATTGGCCTTCTAGTGCAGAAATGCAAGAAAAGCATCATCATCATGTGCGATCTTGGAGAACAGGGTCACCCCACTCTGTTGAGGGATCTACAGCCCTACAATTCCATTCTTGTTCCGATTGTGCTTTGACTTTTTTATTTTTTTTAATACTTCCCAGAAAATTTATTCTTGATGGGTGGCATTCATACTTAGAAGGTATAAATAAAAAACTGGATGAATATAAATGGTAGATTCAAAGTTTACTTTCATTTCTGCTTTCTTCAGAAACTGAGAAAGTATTGTAGAAATAAATAAACTAAGTCATGTGCCGATGCATGCAAACCCCTTTCGATGTTTCTTCTTTCCCCCACATTAGTAGGAATGTTCAGAGAAAGTTATTTATAGGGTCAGTTTGATTGTCAAGAAGTTATTGTGAAGCTATGGTATGGTATTCACTAATACATGTTTGCTTTGAAATATACAAGCAAGCATGGAGGGGAACAGGCCAGCACTGTGATAAATAATGCTCCATTATTTGTTGATGGGTTTAAGTTATTTTCTATCCATTTGTTTGAAGTAGACAACCTGGTCTTTTCAAACATGTCTGCATGGCCAACTGCAGTGGATTGTGTGGGAGAGAAAATCAAAATAAATCTAAATAAAACTTCCCAATAAAACTGCATACTTATCTATGTAGCTGCCTGGAATTAAGATGCACAAAAGTTTAAAAAGGAGGGGAGGGGAGAATTTAGTGAAATGTATAAGGATTTCTTCAACTCTTTGCAAGAGATAGAGCAGTGGTGGCGAACCTATGGCACGCATGCCAGAGGCGGCACCCAGAGCCTTCTCTGTGGGCACACGCGCCATGCCCTTCCGGAAGAATCCAGAAACTGGCAACTGTATTCCAAGAAGGCTACCTCCAGCTTCCCATTGTCATCTTATCCAAAGCAATTTATCCCTATAAGATGATCAACTAAATTGGGGAGGGGAAGTAAAGGTGACAGTAAAACAACAACTACAACATAATGAGATAAGGCATGCGATTCTCATTACACTTGAAGCCAACCTTGGCTGATCTCAAAAGGGTAAGTAGAATCAGATGGGTTATTATTGGGATAGATAAGAGATCCCAGGAAATCTTAGGACTCTGACCTTAATCTAGGAAGTTGAAAAAACATCTTAAGGAAAAGCAGGGCCAACTATTTCCACATGGTTGTCAAGAAAATAGCATGGCTATAAAATCACCAAGCTTTGAGCTTGATGTAAGGGAGTCTTTAGTGAATTTTGCACTTAATATCTCTATCTCAGTGATGGCAAACCTTTTAGAGACCGAGTGCCCAAACTGCAACCCAAAACCCACGTATTTATCGCCGGGTGCCAGGTGGGTGTGGCCCACTGGGTGGGTGTGACTGTGGTGGTCATGGCAGATTGGGTGGGAGTGGCCAAGATGGGCATGATCACCTTGATGTTGCTTGTGGGGAGGGACGCCTATGTGGGCAAGGCAGGGTTGGGGAGATCCAGGGGGTCTCTGGCAGGTGGGTCAGTGGGCAGGAGCCTTGTCCTGCGGGGTGAGGCGAGGGAAGGCAAGGCAGGGTGAGGGTGCCATTGTCACAGGGCAAGGTGAGGCAGGGGCCGGGCAGCTGCTGCTTGACACCATCAGCCCCTGCACACAGAGGTCAGCGAATGCATGGGTGCTGGGATGCATCTGGCCACATGAGACCTCGGCGAGTTAGCGGGCGGCCGGTTGAAGAGGGATGGTTGCCATCTCCAGGGCATGGCGCGTGTGCCCACAGAGAGGGCTCTGAGTGCCACCTCTGGCACGCGTGCCATAGGTTCGCCACCACTGCTCTATCTCTTGCAAAGAGTTGAAGAAATCCTTATACATTTCACTAAATTCTCCCTCCCCCCCCCTTTTAAACTTTTGTGGCATCTTAATTCCAGGCAGCTACATAGACAAGTATGCAGTTTTATTGGGAAGTTTTATTTAGAAGTAGTTTGCCTTCTTCTTGAGGCTGAGAGAGAAGGATTGGCTCAGAATCACCAACTGGCTTTGTACCTAAAGTGGAACTAGAATTCATGCTCTCCCAGTTTTTAGCCTGGTGCCTTATCCACTATACCAAACTGGCTCCCTGTGTTATCCCCCTTGAAGTATGCTAAAGCTTCTTTTGCTACATGAATGTTAAGCCTGATTCTTTGATGCTCCATTTTCCAAAACTGTAAACAAGATTATGCTGTAAACAAGCAGTGTCAACTTCCAATATGTTATTTGTTTATTTGTGCACTTATTCAGTTTTGAGGCCACCCAACTCCATAGCAACTCAGGATGGTGTAGAGATTTTAAAAATTAAAGGAAAACAAAGTATGTTAAATAAAAAGTTTGATGCAAATCAAAAAGAGTGGGACTAGTATGAATTTCTGGGAGGATATCCTTCAAACAGGGTAGGTGCCACCACCGAGAAGACCCCTTACAGTTAACTTTCTGGGATTCTTCCCACTGCAGTTCCAAACCTGTCAACCAAATCTTCAGATTTCTTTATTGGCTATTTTCCAAAGGGTTAAAGCTGACATTATGTAAACTTTCAGTTCCCCTTGTTAAAGTATTTCCTTCATATAAATGTTAAATTGTAAAGGATGGATAATTTTCATTACTTTACATAATGGATCTTCATCAACATTACTTTAAATACTTTAACTTTAACTTATGAATCCAGAACAAAACCAACAGAAATTCAAGTATATCTGTTTTATGGTGTGTGGGGGGTACTTGCACCAGAAACAATATATTAGAGTGCAGGCATTTAATTTCCCTTCTTCTCTGCATTTTCTTTGAACATGTTCCCTTCCATTTTTTAAAAAATGTTCTTTTTTATTTCTTTAAATTAAAATAAATTTTGGACAGCAAGTGCTCACAAGTGATGGCTGAATAGCTAAGGAATGATAGCACACAGATCCTCATCGGCAGAGTGCCTGTGGAAAAAGTGACCTCAGCTAAAACAAACAGGTTCTGATTCAGGCCATGGACTGGGTGTGGGAGAGGCCGAAGGGAAATGCTCACAAAGGAAAGTTCCTGGGATCATGCTTGCTTAAAAAGTTTAAAATCCTACAAATTCTTTTGCCACGGACCCCAAATTCAAAGTCTGCTTCCCTTTCCACTGATATGGATCCTCATTTAAACGTTCCACAGTCATCATTCCAGTTCACAAGTGTGTACTGAGGATAGGAAGGGAAGAGTTGTAAGCTCTCACTACAGCAACCTTGCCCAAACAAGAGCTTTCATGTATTTTGGATTTAACACAATCTCCACAGCTCTCGTCAGCACAGGCAGCAGAAACGATGAAAGTAGAAAGTCAACAGATGTAGAAGGCTCTAGCCATTTAGGGACAGTCTGTTTTGTTCATAAAAACCTTACTTTGATATGTAAATTATCATTGGAATAATTATCCCAGGTTTAAGTCCTCCTGTAATGCTGCATTGCATACTTAAGCGTCTATACGCCTGAGTTCTTAGATAAAGCCCATGTGCTAATCTCAGGTGGAAAAGAGGTGAGATGCTTTATAACCATTATGCAATAAATCGGTGTCAGTGGTAAAGACATAGTTATTTCAACATCCTTCTGCTTACTAAGAATCTGCCATTTTATTTTACTTTGTTCTCTTTTTTAGTCCTCAGGGTGACTTAGTAGGGATAGCAAAATGAGATTTTGACTCTACTACAAATGTACCACTGTAGGGTTTCATAGCTACAGTAGAGAGTCAAGACCTAACCATTTCCAACTTTCATAGTTAGTATCAGAACTACAATCACAGCCAGAACAATGGATCCTCATTTAAACCAAACATTCCACAGTCATCCTTGCAGCCAATGCAAATTTTCCTGAATAGCCACCAACATCTAGAAATGATTATTTGTACAAAAAATGGATGCTGTGTTCAAGACAGTGTAGACTTGTTTAATAGCTTCCCCATTAAAAGAGAGAAAGAAAAATAAGTGTTTAGCATCATGAGTAAAAACTTGCTACTTTTGTAAAACTGACATAGGTCTGTATGGCTGGCTCTGTAAAAGCACACTTAAAGAATGAATTTCATATGCTTTAAAGTAGTTATTCAAAATTATTTTAAAATATACTGAAAAAATATCATTGGGATTTCTTGTTTTTAATGCACCTTAAGAAAATTGGGCAGAGTAAAACGTGTTAACAAAAGCTCTACGGAAAGGCCAGTCATTTCCTGTCTGTTTGCTAGAGACAGATCTGTATTGTTTGCCATTTCCAGTTCCAGAAATGGGAATGAACACTTGACCAATATCTTGCCAGTTTGTAGTACTTGGTTGCTGAAAACACATCTGCCCCATTGTCTTCCACTGGAACTTTTGTGCTGTCGGGGTTTCATTTTTAGAAAAGATAAAGTCCTTAAAGGAGAGAACTATTGGAACTCATGATCATTTCTTTATGCTGGAGTTTCATGTCCGCTTTCCGATTACAAGATGTATTGCCTTTTGCTGTTGATCCTCTTATTTTGTAAGTTCTGGATGGGGACACCAGCAGTAGAAACAAATTAATACTTGTTTCCTCCTACCCGTTGTTTAATGCTCTTCTCCTTCTCCTTCTTCTTAGGCGGCAAGGTGAAAAGTCAAGATAATGGTGAGTTTGCATGTTTTGAAAAATATATACCATTCTACTCAGAAGAAATTTGAAGTTATAGAAATATTTATTGCTCTAGATCTGCATATGTGAGATAAGTATTTGGCCGGGGTGAAAATTTAAAAGTCACAATATGTTTAAAGAGTATACATAGAATGTTCTTTCTTCCTGTCTTCAGCTTCTGGAGTGGTTATGCTATGGGATAAGTTATTCTATTATAGCCAACTCTACAATTATCTTATGGCACCTTTAAAGTCTAACAAATTTATCAGCGTAGAAGCATTCGGAATCACAATCTCTTTCCTAATAATCATGGAATATTCTGAAATAATATTACTATATGAGTATATACTGCAAAAACTATTCCTATTGTATTTCTGTAGGCACAATATTCCATGAACTCAAATAAGTGAGCTGCAATTCGCTAAGGCTCGATCCATAAAATATTGATTAGACTTTAAGGCACACAAGATTGTTAGTTGTTCTTCTAATATAGGAATCACAATGTGTACTGACTGAGTTTCCTCATTATAGACTGAAACTATCATTATAATTATTAACCTTAATCATAATGAATACTAATTCTTATATTCTTCACTGGTTTCGAATTACCTAGAATAGCTTAAAAATAGCTCTTCTACTTTTCAAAAGTGTCAACAGCAGTTGTGCCTTCATTGCCAATTCAGGTTGAAACCCTAACGCAGGAGAAGGGGGGGGGGTCTTTTTTCTCTCTCGCTCTCTTTCTCTGTGTGTGTGTCTGTATGTGTGTGTGTGTGTGTGTGTGTGAGAGAGAGAAAGAGTATATATGGTATATATTTGAGAGAGAGAGAGAGAGAGAGAGAGGGAGGGAGGGAGGGAGGGAGGGAGGGAGAGAGAGAGAGAGAGAGAGAGAGAGAGAGAGAGAGAGAGAGAGGGAGGGAGGGAGGGAGGGAGGGAGGGAGAGAGAGAGAGAGAGAGTCTGTGCATTTGGGACAAAATTTAGCAGCAGATATTGTTAAGGCACTGGTTTTCATTGCCTTCAAAGCAAAAAACCTTCAGGAAGCATTTGTCATGCCTGGAATATTACATGGAGGTTTTCTGTTTTTACACCTTGGTTGGCCCAAATGTTCACTCACTTTTGGCACCCAATGGGGACCCCTGAAGTTATCCTTCGCGTTCAGACTCCCCATCATCACCAATGTCGTTGAATGCTTAAAAAATTCCTTAAGATAGGATTGGACAAGTCACATCATATTAAGTTCAAACCATAACTTTAATGCCACAAACACTATTCAGAAGATAAATTCTTAAAAACTGTGGTCCCAGTCTGGAGGCGAAGAACAAGTCGTAATTTTTGATAATTGTAGAAATTTGAGAAAGCAAATGGTCAGTCCCTTGTATTCATGTAGGACTAGGTCGTATCAGATTATGTGAGGCAAGACTACACAACTTTTTTGAATTTTGAAGTACTCAAAAGAGCCTCATTACTCAAAAAGAACTTAGATTAATATCAGAGGGAAGAGATAGACATTAATTCAGTTATTATTTGTGGAAGTTGCAGTATTACAAACTTTGAAAATTATTTCACCAAGCGGTAATTTTGCTTAACCATTGTTTGTTCACAAGTCATAACAGCCACAAGCTATGGGTTACAAACTACAGTTGTTTAATTCACACAGTATACTGAGTTATAATGGAGTTTATAGGTTTCTGTTCTAAGTGTGATGTGTTGATGTCTGGTTGATGTCTTTTTCTTTTTTACATATTAGCTGTAACGCTCCGTATGATGTCTGATTTAAAGATTTAATGTTTCTAGAAGAAGCAAAACCAGCTATGTATAGGAGTGTTTTTCTTCCCACTTTGTTTACTGGAAAGTGAGAGTTGGTTATGCCGGGAAAAACATACATGTAAGAAAATGTTTACTTAAAAAGTGTGTATGGTAAACAAGAAAAGAGGGAGCTAAAGATGTAATGAGTGAACGTGTGCACTCAGTAGAAAAGTGAGTGACCAGTTTGAAAGAAATAGGGCATAATGGTTTGATTAAACAGAAGCAATGAATGAGGAATTAATTGGAAAACAAATATACAAGGTTTGTGATTAATTGGTTAGTAGAGGACCAATAAAGTTTGTGATTAGATGGAATTAATGAGATCTTAAAAAGAGAGCAAGGTGACTTTAAAAAAAGAAAGAAAAGGAGAAAGAGGGATGAGAGAGAGATGGAGAGAGAGAGCCAGAGAGAAGGAGGGAGAGAGAGAGAAAGTGAGGGAGAGAGGGAGGGAGGGAGAAAGAGGGAGAAAAAAGATGGAGAGGGAGAGAGAGAAAGTGAGACAGAAAGGGAGGGAGAGAGGGGAGAAGAGGGAAAGAGAGAGGAAGGGAAGGAGAGGGAAAGAGGGAGAGAGAAGGAGAGGGAGACAGAGAGAGAGAGAGAGAGAAAGTCAAAGGGATGAAGAGAGGGGGAAGAGAGAGGAAGGGAGGGAGAGAGAGGCAATATACTAATTAGTGTCTAGATGTGATGGAATCAAGAATGTTTTGGAAAAGCAGAAAAAATATAAGAAGTGTAATATGAACTAGGTAGAAGATGTTCTCTTCTTTTTTCTTATCTTGTGCTTCCAATTTCTTTTGCTTATTACTTCTTATTATTTTTGTTCAGGAAATGTTCATTCATCACCCACACATCAACATATATAAAATTTCTACATAAACATTTCAATAAATAATTTATATTTCATTATAATCATCCCTAACTACTATAGCTTTGTAGGGAATTTTTTCATATGATGTTAACACCACTTCTGAAAGCCAATGAGTATTGAGGCTTTATGGTTTTCTTCCAGTATTGAGAAAATAAAGTTTTTCATAGCTATAATATAAGACACAGGGAATCAATTTTCTTTGCTGAGAAGTCAATTTCCAGTTGATAGCAATAATAGAAACTTGTAATGATATTCTCATAGTTGAATTAATACATGTAATAACTTTCTCCTCAAAAGGAATAATTATAGGATATTGAACAAAAACAAGTTTAAATGAAGTGATAATCTCATTACATCTCCAACTGCATGAAGATTTTCTCAGGCCTTTTCTATTTAAGTGTAACGTGTCTAAAATATATATTTTTGTTGAATAAGACATAAGATCTACTGAAATGTTTGGCGTTAACACCTCTTCCTATTGTCTGGGCAAAATAGGAAACTTTAATTCTTTATTCCATTCAAACATTAAAGCTTGCATATCAAACTGATTAATCACTAACTTAATTTTGTGAAGACTAATTGCAGGGGGTCTGAATCACGTTAATAATTGCTTGTACGTGAACGTTTCTGGGGTTAAAAATGACACAGATCCAAATTGGGATGTCAGTAGATGTTATAATTGTCAGTACTGACAAAGTGAACCACACTAGGCAAATTGTATTTGTGCTTTAAAATAGAAAAGGATAATATACCTTTGATAAATTATAATATATGTATTTTGTGCTTTCAAGTCATTGTTGACTCCTGGCATTACTTGGACAAATCCCTGCAGTTTTTTTAGCAAGATTTTGAAAGTGGCAGGGCAGAGGGAGAGTGACCGGCCCAAAGTCACCCTGCTGTCTTTGGGCCTAAGGTGAAAGTAGAACTCGTGGTCTCCCAGTGTGTAGCCTGGTGCCTTAACCATTATACCAAACTGGCTCTCTTTCCATATAATAGTATTCTTTTAATTAATTCCAAGATCTGGATTATCTTATAGCATGAATTTATGAGAAAAGGGATCAAAGAACCGTTTCCTAGAAATAAGGTACCATAATCTTTGAATCAATATAAGAGGAATATGTCTTCCCGTTTTTTGAAACCTTTTCCTGACTTGGGAGGACTGAATGTTCCCCTAAATATGGGGAAATGATCCATTGGGTAAATGATCCGAAATCATTTTCAATTCTGCTACTTGGTACAAATGACTACAATGGCTGCCTTCTTTCAAAATATTTTATTCAGCAAGATATGTTCCAAATTTTCCACAAAAGTGTTCTGGTTCTGGGTTTTTCAAATTGTGTTCCGGAGATCTCAAGGTTCCATGAGAATTCGATGGGATTCCATGAGACCCTAAGAGCAACCCCCCCAAAAGAAAATGAAATAAAAAAGTTTACTTGAACACATCCATTTTTCTTTTACTAGGGCTTTTAAACTCTTGATCTGGGGTTCAGAGAATATTGTTTTACCTGTGTAGCGGGAAGTTGCCTAACATATTCTATACTATAGCCTGAAAAAGTGTGAAAACTTTTATTATAGTTATTGAATTCATGGATACCGAACACTTACAAGTTGCACATGGTGCTATCTTATAATTAATAAGACCATTCCAACTCATGATTCAAAGCAGAACAAAAAAACTGTGTTGTGTTAAAACTATCAAAGGTCACAGATTTCCTGGCTCCAACCGGGAGGTAAGCTGGAATGATTTAAATCACCGATGAACTGATAAAAAATAATAGCAACATTGACTTTTTGAAAATGGGCTCTTCAAATGTTGTTTCACAGGCATACCATTAAAAACATCTTATTTGTGAAGGAACAAAATGTTTTTGAAAAAGGCATGCCTGGAAGCCATTCTAATGCAACCTTTAACTTTGCTGGTTGAATGATCAAACAGAATTCTTGGTGGTAACCATCGGTCATTTAGGTATGAGATAGTTGATCTTTATTTTAAAATGTTGTCTGCAATATTCACATATGCATGTAAACAACTTAGAAGGCATTTATCATTCCCACTTTGGAAACGAATGCTTCAGATATCAGTGCTGCCATGATTTTAGAGATGCTTATGTCTTCTCTGCCAATCTGTCTTGATTGTCTGTACACGTAGTCCTCAACTTACAACAGTTCATTTAGTGACCTTTCGAAGTTACAAGGGCACTGAAAAAAGTGACTTTTGACCGTTTTTCACACTTATGATATATCACTGCAGCATTCCCATGGTCACGTGATCAAAATTCAGATGTTTGGCAACTGGCATGTATTTATGACAGTTGCAATGTCAAGGAT